GGGGGGGGGCATCTTGAGCGGAACTATTATTTGTGGCGTAGTCACATGGCAGACCCGATCTAACAAGCACTATACATATGAAAGAAAAATAACAAGCAATCTCCATCAACTATTCGTTCAGTTGAGAGAGCGCAAAAAGGAATAGCAACTAAAATTTATTCTAGATCGTTTAAGAGACGTTACTATTTGTGAATAAACAGACGCTTTTTGACAAATTTCAATTATTCGGTTCTTCACAGGCTCCTATTTTGAACAACTTTACAAGCTCTCTTTGTCGGCCGAAGTATCTGAAGCATTAGGATCAATGAGAAGTTGATTTGGCCGGAAATACCTCAATTAAAGAAATGGGAGGAAGGAGAACAGGGAGACTGTAGAACAGAGGGAATGAATCCGTACAACCCTAAAACGGCAATATCTCCCTTTTTTATTCTTCCGGAAAAACGGTAGAAAAGTAAGGGGACATCAGACTCGACAATGGATGGATTCCCTTACACTGCGCATCAACAGCACGCATATCTGTCACTATTGTGGGACAAAAATAGACAGATGCTAGTTTCCTGAGTTACCTCAAGCAAAACTTACGGTAAAAGAACAAACGAGGTTCTCGTCGATGTTCATCAAAGCTGCTGCATTATCAAATTGCCCACAGTAATGAGGAGCTGAGAATATTGTAACGAGTTTTCGATTGGCAAAAAACTCGTAACCATCTTGTACGACCTTAATTTCGGGGAATGAGTAAAAAGAACAAAAAGCTGTGGGTCAAGCATTCAGTTCGAAAACGTCTTCCAATCAATGCAACTAGGTTTTTGCACGTTCTATGACTGCACCTGATGGAATTCTGTTCTAACAACGAAGCGCTGAAGGAACGGGAAATTGCCTTTTTGGAAGGCTCGGGCCTGCTTTGGACTAGTAAATCGCTTGTAGCAATAGCTTACCACGCTGGGGAGCTGGTTGGGCTCCACCTTTCAGGGCTCACCTAGTGCTGGGGAAAGAGGCCGATCTCTATTCAATCAGAGAGCCCTAGATCACTGTCAGGGAAAATCGCTGCTGATCCATGCGAGGACGAAGTTTTGTAGATGTACTTGGAAAAAAGGCACTTCTCAAACCAGCCCACTTTTGTTTCATTCATTGTTTGAGAATACGGGGACAGGAGGGGCTACTTGGACTATTTTTTCGCCACTGCTATTTTTGTAGGCAATATGTATGAAGATTAGCGATTGCGTATGCCAACGACTACACTAACCGTGCGCTTAGTTTGGTCAAATACACCTCAGCCACCCCCAAACCACCTCTACGAGCACCTATTAGTCATATCTTCCAGTGGACGTCGCTAACAAAGGAAGGGGCGTTTCAAACGAATTTTCATGCTCATACACATTTCTGCTTGTTTTTCAGAGATGCAGAGCCATATACAGGCTCTTCAAGAATATGACCTTGTCCCATCCGGTACCCTGTTTCCATTTTTATCAAGCGAAGAGTAGGGATAACTACGAAGTCCATTACTGATTATAAAGAGTAGTTCTGACCTGGTGAGCTCTGGCGACCAATTCAATGTTTAGAACTTCACACATTTCGAACACTACATCTTTACCAAACACATATGATACCCCACGAGAATTCGATGCCCATCCCTAAATGACAAAATTTCGGAAAACATCTGATCTGAAACATCAAAAATAAATAATATAGTTAACAAATAAGGAAATAAATAAAGCTGTTGTTACAGAGAGATAACTACAATTCCCAGTGAGCACAAAAGTCACCTTTATGTAATTGTCTGGATCACTCCATAACAAGTCGATATGTAAGGATGGATTAGGTGGATCAATAGGGCGGGTGATATTTCGAAGTTGATCCATTGATTTAAGCTAAAAGTGTTTTTCAACTTCTTTTTGCTTTTGCCAAGGCATCCGCTAATTGGAAGGGGTACCAACACACGAATTTCAGCTTGAAGGGTAGATGAGATAAAGATAAAGGGTGCCGGATAAAGTGAATAAGACAGTCGCCGAGTGCCGCGCCACGCGGAAAATTCGCGACCTGACCGTGCACCCGGTCAGATGGTTCTTAGTGCTTACCTTGGGCGACAAACCACCATGCATACAAAGAATCTTGCCAGCCACCAGACCTGTGAACGGTAGAGCAGCAAATGTATCCTGAAAAAGCAAGTTAGGTTCACCTAATCAAAACGGGAGGCCTTTAAATGACCTGGAATTGTAACCATAGACGTGTGCTCTGGTAGCGTCTGTTGCATTCTTCGAAAAATCCATAAACCCGATTGATTGGTGAGCATTCGTGATTTCCACGGAGAGCGAAAAAATTGCCAGGATATTTTATCTGAAACGGCAAGTTCCTTCGGATAGCAATAAGAAGAGGAGTGCTAGGTATGAATGACGCTTAACAGGGTTTATACTTTCTGTTGTTGTTTTTATTGTTCACTGTCCACACAGAGTGGCTCCAGAGGCCTTTAACCGTTGTGCTTTTTGAGCTATAGATCATTTTCCGAGCTGATGATCATTCACAAGGCTGGGAGCGACTGGTAGAGATCTTTACCAACTGTAGTGCTAAATTGTCTTTAGTGGTAAACTCATCATGGACAGTACATAGCCCTGGCAGATGAAACAACCGTCGGACCAACGTTGAAGGCGATTCACTTTGCTGACTGCAATAACTACTATCAATTAGAACTGACCTTGTAACAAAAAATTAATCCTATACATTCCAAATTCTGTTGCCCACGGTCCACATAATCGCCCAAAAATAAATAATTCACATTAGGTGGAAATCCCGAATGATTGAACAATCGGAGGACATCTGAAAGGTCATGGATCTGTCACTTAATAAACAGAGATAGACGTAATCGAATCCTGAAGAGAATTCTCATTTTGGATAGCGTCGTGCATTCGACACTGAATTACCATCAGAAAGTGCTCGGCGAGAAGGACTTATAAGCTGGCAAAAGCTGGTTGGGAACCCTTTTCTGTCCCAACCAATTCCAACTTCGAAACTGCACTTACCTGCAAACTGCCCATGTACATCACCACAGACTTTAATTGGGGCTTCCACATCTAAGAGTGATGTTTGGCTTAGGAACACTTGCCTGAACATAATCAAACTGTCGCACAGATGGTATGCAGCATTCCAATCAAGACGGCAGAAAAAGACACTTTCAAACAGTTGTGGCGGATTTTGAGGGCTCTTCTCACGATGATATTTTATGTAGATCATGTTTTTTCTATGAAAAACTCTTCTGTATCTGTTCATATTCTTAGCCCTTGAAGTTAAAATCCCCAAAATTCGATTAGTTCCTCATCAACCCTGATAGGTAAGCGTGCTCCTAGACCTTAATTGCCAGGGCCATTTCACCTGCTCTGACATTCAATCCCTACCTAATGGACCAAAAATTTTTCCGGAAAGACCTTTTGTTACGAAATTGGCCTAGGTCCCTGCAAATGGTTCTCACCTGCATTGACCTAGGCCAATTTTGGCGACTTCTCTATCGAACTGTTATTTTTAATGTCTTCAAACTCTATTTAAGCAGTCATAAATCGCTAGCGGACCTCTTTCATATGGCTACACGACAGCACTTGCCCTTGTTATTGAAGTATCGAAAATAATGGTCGTTCTGACACATACATGTGCCAATGCATCGACCTATTCTTGATTCCCATGAGGCCGAATAAGAGCCAATCTGAACCAGTTCGCCCCATCAGTTTAAAGATCACAACACATGGTTTCCCTCTACCTACATAAACATTCCCGTAAGGTAATTGATGATGATGGCTTCACTTCAGCCCTCTGCCGATTAGGAAATCCTTGGGAAGGGATCGATACACATTTTTTTTCTTTACGCTCTCCTTTAGCATTGAGCTGCACCTTCACCACCTCCATCTGTTCCCACCCAGAAAACTTTGGCGGTAACTCACCTTGCAACTGTGCAAAGGTTCATGAGTTCGCCTTCTTTGACGCTAGTCACAAGCGAGCAGCCCGGCAATGCAACATTTAGTATCCGTACTATTAGATCGTCCACATCACATCGTAATGGTGGAGTTGAAATTGGTGTCTGTAAATGACAGCGATCCATTCTCATTCGATTGATTACTGGTTGGCGATATAGAATAATCACAGCCCTTGATGGTGGTATTTCAGCTGCTCTTCAGGAGTTTTACGCGAACGATATTGGGGCAGAGCTGGAGGACAGCCAAGTTGCGCACTATCACACGCATGGTTGCTTTCAGAGTTCAACGTTGTTTCGGTCGAGGACCGACCGCTCGACCGCGTCTGGCCATGTGTTGACTACGCAGGACACACTGCGTTCAGGGCTGCCTGAGCGGTATCGACCGGTGTCCAGCATGGTCAACTGATGGCCAGCAACGCGGTCGGTCGGCCAGTCGTCGGTTGAGAAAAACGCAAGTCGTTGAAATTTGAAAGCACCCCGTAGTCTGGGGTCGAGTCCAAGCCATATGTTAGCTAGACCAGGTGAAGTTTAGTTCTCCCGGAGTCGGTTATTTGACACCAGGCTCATCTGGGAGGTTGAAGCATTTACAGTAAATCGGTATTTTCTTGCTACCACCGTATAGGCTACGTACGTATTCGAATGCTACCGCGATTTTGATTGGAATAGTCGAGTGAGTGGGTGCATCCCACGACCGGGGCTAGCCGACCCCAAAGGAAATGAGGTCCTTAATCACAACAATAATGCAGGCGGCCATGCGCTCATATTGCAAAAGGCGCGGCAGCGGAAATAATGCCAGAGAGTGGACGGATTGCCCGTGACATCTGTCGCCATCTGAGAGCTCTGTAAATTTGTGTCCTGGCCGAATGGCATCTATCCTTGAATCGTTTTTATCTATAGCCTACAATGTTGAGAAGTTTAGAATTGCCTACTAACTAAGCTAGGATCAATTCGATAGCCTGAAATCGCCTACCAAGGACTATAGACGTGTCATTTGATCAGATAGCTCTTGGGGTGTTTTGTTCCCACGAATTTCTGAAGTCATCGAGACAAGTAAATGGTGAATCGTCTCAGGACGACAAATAAGCATCCTCGGTCAAGCGCATGGGACATGAGGTCCTATCTCGGTTGCCGCCTCCGAAACTAGGTCACCTCTTAGGCGAGTGTCATGAAGACCATACTCACGCTCTGCCATTTTGCCAAATAATCATCAAAAGATATCATCTATCTGAAAAGTGCTTCTCACCCCTTCACTTTTCGAGTCTGATTCTTTGGAATCTTTATCACTTTTTCTTTTCTCTTCTTGCTGATATGTATATTGACCGAGATTTTCTCGACTGAACAGCTTCATCGTGCGTTTTGGACTCCTGTTGGTTGCTTCAAACTATAGATTTTATTGAATTTTACATGTTGTTTCCTACATTTTTAGAGAAAAGAAAACAATTTTAGAATCGAACTTACTTGTGTGTATTGCCGAGTACCGTTTATGCGGCTCTACTGAAATGTAAAATGGTCGTTCTTCAGAAACTTTAGAAGATTTTTGATTAGAAATCAATTTTAGAAATGATCTATGCATCATAGGCTGCTTTCATAGTCCACGACCAGTCGCGGACCTACCTCGCAAGCGACCGGCGACCAGTCGCGCGATTGGTCGCTCGACTGATCGCGCGACTGGTCGCTCGACTGATCGCGCGACTGGTCGCTCGACTGATCGCGCGACTGGTCGCTCGACTGATCGCGCGACTGGTCGCTCGACTGATCGCGCGACTGGTCGCTCGACTGATCGCGCGACAGGTCGCTCGACTGATCGCGCGACAGGTCGCTCGACTGATCGCGCGACGGGTCGCTCGACTGATCGCGCGACAGGTCGCTCGACTGATCGCGCGACTAATCGCGCGACTGGTCGCCCGACTGATCCCACTAGGCGGCACCCATGACTAGCGCGGCCTCCTCGACCGATCGAGCGATCAGTCGAGCGATCAGTCACGCGACCGGTCGCTCGCCAAATCGTGGACTATGAAAGATGCCATATTGGTGAACAATTATCCAATGGTTACTGTGTCAAAAAGTCCGACAAAATACATGGTACAAGATTTTTGCCGACAAAGTCATGTGACTACCGCTGCCGCCGAGAGCTCCTGCCCTTGCTAGCGACCCTCTATCTTGACGATTCCTCACCATAGGCTAGACCTCCAAGACGAGTATATACTTCTAGTTAATCCTTGCAGAAGGGGGTATGTGTACGAACGTGCGTCCGAGGATGCGCGCGGCAAATATCGCGGCGAAATTCGTAACTATTTGAACGACTTTGGCGCCTGTCATTGGGGCCCAAATTTGAAATAGAGTGTATTAGGAAGATCATCTGACTCTACTAAACTACACTACTTCGAGTTTGTGCCCCGAAAATTGGCGCCGCAGTCGTACAAATCGTCGCGAACTTTGCCGCGCAATTCGCCGCGCGCACCCTCGGACGCACGTTCGTACCGTCCCCCTGCAGAAGGAACTCACCCATCCCTTCCATGAAAAATTATCAAATCGATTAATTACCAAATGTCGGGGCTCAATGAATCGTTTTGCAGTCGTGTCGGGCGGTTTTGTCAGGACCAACTCGAACGCTGATTGTGGCACACCCAGGGCTGTGACACCGTGAGAAACCTGTGCTGGATATAAACGCGAGGGCGCCTGGCTAATGGCATTGACCTGCCGTCCCGCACACGTGTCGCTCATCGAGAGCGAAAATTTGTACGCTGACCATGAACTCAAGAATAGATGATGAGCTTTTAAGAGGGATCAGACACATGTTGACAGCGCTGGACATCGTGTGTTGATAATGTCCGCCCACCTCTGACGGATGTGTTCGCCGCCTAGAAAATAACATGCTAGAGCGCAAAGGCCGTCAGAGGCGGCGCGGGCGTCGACAACAGACGATGTCTAGCGCTGCCAACGTGTGTCTAGCAACGCACGTCGTTGAACTCTGAAAGCGCCCTTACAGGAATCTGCTACTTCCTGCTTCCGATTTTCTTGCTCTGAGTGTGTGCAATGATGAAACGAAGTGTGAGCAATCACGAACCTTTTTAAGGGCAGACGTTTGGGCGATTGCCGACATGCAATGAAACTCACTCTTCGTCACTATCATTGTTATGGTTTTTTTTGTTTTGGAATTATTTATTGTGTGGCTGTCGTCTTGTTATTCTTCCAATAGCTCTTTTACCCTTTACTTCACCCCATACGCCCCCGTATTTTTGAACAACGAATATCTGCACAAAATCAATACCATTTTTGAACTTGGTGGATTAACTGCTCCTGCCAAATTTGAGAGAGAGGTTGGAGAAAGGTATTGCTATCAGCTATGATTTACTGCATACTCTGTACCTCACTGTCGTTTTTGGGTAACGAACAAGATGCAGACATACCGGATTTGAGTGGGAGGGGGACGGAACATTTACCCAGAACTGGATGGATGCGGCAAACCGCGCGGCGAAATTCGTGGTGATTAAAACGACTCCGGCGCCTATCAATGGGGCACGGGTTTCAAGTAGATTGTATAAGTAGGGCCAGCTGATGCTACTTCTATGCCCCCCTTCAGATTTGTGCCCCAATGATGGGGGCCAGAGTCGTTTTAATCACCATGAACTTCGCCGCGCGGTTTGCCGCGTCCATCCACTTCTGGGTGAATGTACACATACCCTTAGTGGGAGGGTGCATGGAATCGTGCTGGGACGGTGCGCCGCGCCAGCCGCGTGTCGCAAGGATGCGATGGGTGTGGTGCAATAGGATCGAAATTGTCGTGTTGCGGCGGGAGAGATACCGTGCGCGAAGGATTGTAGCAGAATGCAGCAGCAAGTAAGAAATACAGGAACAGATGAACTAACATTAGAATCACGCCCAAATCAATGATCGCATATCGATTGAGCTGTATGAAGACGCCTAGAACCGTAATAACGAGGTTATGGTCCGCGGCTGCCGCGCGCGGTGAATCGATCACACAAAACCGATCCTACTGCCCGTCTGCCGAATACGATGGATTATAGGAGCGAACAGTGCGTGGTCCTTTTTTGAGTGCTTGCGCATTGTATATGTGGCGGTTCTAGGGAGGCGCCAGATGTGTGTTCGGGTTACTGTGTAACACATTCACGGGACGCTTGAATCCTTAATCCGTCAAACTGCAATGATCGCACTCACCCATTCGAGCAGACAAGCTTGAATGGGTGAATGCGATCATTTTTAAACGTCCCGTGAATATGTTACAAGTAACCCGAACACACAACTGGCGAGACCACTATCAAATTCTCCCCGTGCGTGTTTACGGCAATGAGAACTCGGCCACAATTCCCAGTACCCTGTCAGAACTATCGTCTCACTACTATCGCAGAAGGAGTCCATCCAACGACCCATTCTTTTTGCGAAGTGCTGTCAGTGAAGCGATGTTTTTGCTTCACCCCTCAGTGATCCTTGGTTATTGCTTTTATCGGGCTTTGCATATTGCATTTTACTTTCTTTGTTTGCAGAACGAATTAGAGAGAGTATAAATGCAAATGAGGGGGAGATCGCCACTTCGGAAAGAAAATTTCATCCTATAATCTGCTGGCTAACAAAATTCAAAGTCTATCATAAGAGCCCGTGTCAGAATCATTTGATGCGAACGCATGCGGAGATAGGGCGCATCGGTAGATCGACGCCGGTATGGGTAAGGTAACTTCTCCCCGAAAATCGCATCGCGCTCGCCGCCCCCAATCCGCCGCGGAACCACTGCCGCTTGCCTTGGGAGTTTGGGGAGAATTACCTCCACCCCGCCGACGTTTACATCGTCGCCAAGGGTTAGTTGGTAAGTTCGCAAATAGTGCGTCTACTAGGGGCATCCAGACGGTTGCAGGCAGTGACGCATCTGTACGGAACTTGCAGTCGTATGTCTTTTTTTTCATTTTGAGTAAAGTAAAAAGTAAACTCTTCTTGAGTAAAACAGCTCCTCTTTACTACGGTAGGATGTCTTATTAGGGAACATAAACCTTACCTTCCTTTTCTGAATTCACGATACAAAACTTCTACGCCCGATCTCCCCTTTTCATCCGTTCACCATTAGTCGCACCTTGCAGCATGATCATTGACTTGCGAGATCTTGAGCGGCGGTCAACGCTGACGTCTGCGTCGGGCACAGGTACTATAAATGCGCCCAGAACTATAGCTTAGCGCCTACTGTGAATCTATTTTTGTTTTCTATCGTGAAATGTCTAGAATTTGTACTGAGTCCTAGTGGCTTGTTAATCTCCACATAGCACTTCTAGGTGCTTGCAGAATGTCTACGAAAAACTGTCCTCCTTTTATGGAATTCGTTTATGACTTATTCAGTTTACGCAACAAGTTGTCCGTAAGTTCATATTTATATTTTTTTCCCTTTTTCACTATTGTGTTTGGCGCAATTTCTTCTCAGAATTGAGGTTGTGACTCTCAGAGCTATTCATAAAAAATTAACTTGTGGACTTTTGAACTATCAATATTACCTAAGAGTTGGTGATTATCCAATCTTACCCACTTACACCTTTCACTTTTAAGGCTTAGAGCAAATCTAATCCACTAGGAATTTTCTAGCAGCAGTCTGTGAAAGACCATTCGATTTTTGCATTTTTTCATTTTCTTTCCTCATTTAGAAAAATCATCGTTTATATCTAGGGACGATCTATTACAGTAAGGCTTAAAAGGTACAAAAGCAAGCAAAATTTGATATTCATTGTGGTAACGATGGAGCATCATCGCGCCCCACTCTTCAGCCCCTGTCGACATACTCACTTATATAGAAACCGTACCTCTGCGTTTTTACGCACATATCTGCGTTTTTAGGCACATATCTGCGGAAAAAACGCACCTACTATGAATGCGCCCATTAGCTGCTTTCAGACTTCAACGACCGATCGACCGACGTCCGCATGGTGAAAACATTGAACAGATTGGCCGCATTCATACTAAGTGCAGTACGCTGCAGTCGACTGCAGTATACTGCAATCGGTTGCAGTATCCCAGTACAGCTCCCATTGATGACTCATCCTACGGGATGACTGAGATAATTATGCTCCTTTTTCTCTTCGCTCGTAACAGATTGTGTTGTGATTTGCATTTTGTATCACGTCCCGTATAGATTACCGGACTTCCGTGCGCGAGATGTTCGCAAGAACTCATTATTTTTCCATTTATTTTTTTATTCCTCTTATCTCAGCATTTTGTTGTGGGAATTTTTCTATTTAATTTTTTCAAATTTTTCTATTGAAATTTTTTATTTCTATTTTTTCCTGCTCTATATTCTAGTTAGTGCTGGTGTGTTATGCGTGCATTTTTTTCTTACTATTCTATAGTATACTATTCACACTTATCTAATCAAAATCACTTATTTCGGAACCAAAACATGTCAGTACTAGCTAGAATATAAAGCAGGAAAAAATAGAAGTAAAAAATAGTGTAGAAAAAATAAAATAGGAAAACTCCCACAACAAAGTGTTGAAATAAGATGGATAAAAAAAAGTGAAAAAATAATGAGCTAACGCGACCATTACGCGCACGGAAGATCGGTAATAAGCACGGGACGTGATGGAAAGCAAAAATCACAACAACTTTGCAACGAGTGAGGGGAAAAAGGAGCATGATTATTCCAAACAGTCATCCCGCAGGACGAGTCATCAATGGGAGCTGTCGATCATGGATTTCGTAGACTGGACGAGTGCAGTATACTGCAGTCGGCTGCAATATACTGTGCCTAGTATGGAGACAACACTGGCCAGATAAACGCAATGGCCGCATTCATGCTAGTGCAGTATACTGCAGTCACTGCAGTATACTGCACCTAGTATGAATGCGGCCATTGCATTCATCTGGCCAGTGTTGTCTCCGCGTGGCCAGCGTGCGCCGTCAGTCGGTCGGTCGATCATTTAATTTTGAAAGCAGCCAGGAATGTTTCCACTTGAAACGGTTGTCCTGTGGTCGTACGCCTTCTTTCCCTTTGTATAATTGCCACGCGGGACTTGTGCCTCTTAGGTAGTTAAACCTCAAACTTGGGTAATTAAACCTTTATCATTATAACATGAAAAAACCCAATAAGTGAGAATCGAGTATGAGGCACAAAAGAACCGGCATCATTATGAGATTATTACACCGTAACATAGGAGGCAAGATGATGTAAAGAGATCAAGATAACAACAGTAAAAACCTAGCAACACTATTAACACGGCAAAGTAACAATAATGACATTTTTACAACAAATAAACAACAACATCGACACTACTATTAACTAACATGCAACAACAGCAACTACATCTCGCTAAGTCGCAAAGGAAAAAAGGGGAGCCTAAAGAACTATCGCCTTAATCGCACTCCGCGCGAGCACCCCTTGACAGCGCCCGATGATCAATGAGGTGTGTGGACTTGGGAAGTCCCAAAATTTCTCAATGATACGGTAATCAAGAACCTTTAATTAATTGGGTCGCGCATGACGGCGGCCTTTGATCAATAGGTCGCGGTTTTTTTCCGCGACACTCCGCCCCCTCAAAAGTTGGGTCTCGCTTGTCGCATGAGTTGAGGCCTTAATGGTGTCTCGACTCCCTTAGTGAACGCTGGTGTCGAAGCCGTGCGTTGCGTCGATCGCCAACTCGCAGTGTCGCTTATCCGCCTCGATTTGTAGCGACACTCCCGGCAGTGTGCACACCGCCGACGCGTGGCCCATCCTTTTGCAGTGGAAGCAGGGGATCTTTGCTTTCGCGCAGTCGCTGTCCCCTTCGCATTCTCGCTCGAGGCACATTTGGCATCTCCGGGTTCTTCGGAGATACTGCGCCCTCTCCTGTCCGGTGCGGATCCTGTTGCAGGAATCGGAGTAATGCCGTCCAAGTGCCCCGCAAAATGCGCAGGGCATTTCCTCCTCCTCGCGACGGTAAATTCCTGCTAGGTACTCCCGCGGCCGACATACTTTCCTGCGGGCGAGTTCCCTCCTGCGACGGCTGACTTGCGCCAGCTCGGCCTCCAATCTTTCAATTTCCCTTCCCAGGGCTGCATCCTCTTCATCGCTTTCTTCCTCCTCATGGACTGCCTCCATGAATTCCACGTTGTCCGCTATCCTTGCTCGCTCGTCGTCTGGTCTCGCCTCAATCGCAACATCGACCATCACTGGGGCAGGTGGTGCTGGAGCCCTTTCCATCTTTCCTACTTCCTCTTGCACTCGCTTCATCGCCAGGTCCATGGAATTGATTGCTTTCAGCACTTCCTTGTATGTGCTCTCATGTAGAGCTCTCTCCTGCGACAAGGTTTCTGCCTTGAGTGGTCGCAAAGTGCCGAAGAATTCTTCGATCCCTTCCAGTTGGTCCTTCGCGATCCTTTCGACGTCTTCTTGGCTTACGAGCAGTGTCTTCCTTTCTCCATTGCGCGTGTAATACCTCTGAGGAACCTCCATCTTGGACTCCCAAGCCCTTGAAGAAATCGCTCGAGTCGCAATCAAAAGGGGTACAGAAGAATACAGCAATCGAAGATGTTTAACAAAAGATTGTAAACAAGTTTTACAATTCTCAGTCTCTAATTCCATAATACGAGCTTCGCGCTCAAGTTCGCCATAAGACAAATTACTATTATAGAAAACATGGGTCTTTTCCTTAAGTTGATCGAAGCGCTCGATGACGAGCATGACGTTCTGGCAGCTCAAAACGATGTCGTCGTACAACTTCGATGACGACGGCAGCTTAGGCAATGCGGCTTTTAGTCGTTTCAGTTCTCGTTTAACTTCCTCATAGCGGTCCATGCTGTAAGATGGGGCTTTACTCAAGGATTGCTTGCTTAGATGTTTAAGGATTTTTCGCCATTCGTTCCTATTGGCTCGCAAAAGATCGCAACTATTTATCTTGACTTAAGGTGGTAATCTACAGATCGAAAATTGAAGCCGTTTCGCCAAGATAAGAGTTAAATTTTGAAAGGCAGTTAAAAACTGTCGCTTGAGCGAGAGAGATTAATGAAATGAAATGATACTATTTGAAGTGAAATGTTGTAATTGAAAGTAAAACTAATTGCAAAATCGCTAGTGAATGTTAAACAAAGTATTCAAAGAAACAAAGGTGATATTTACAAATGTTACCTATTAGCTGGTCGCTGAATCGCAGTCCTTCACAATTGCTATATCGCACTCACTCTTCACAAATCTTCTTACTTGGGGTACCTACCCGATTCTATAGAGTATGTGCGTTTTTTAAGAATACTATTACAATAATGATATTACTAATCAGACATTAAAAAATAGTTGTACCTCTTTTAAACTTCAAGTCACTTCGCGACACGATCAAATAATTCGCTACTTTTCACAAATGGCCCTCGGCCGCCTAAAGAACTATCGCTAATGTTTCTATTGCGAACGTTATACGACAACGAGAACCCGACACAGCGTTTATAATAGCGAAGTTTCAACAGTAATAATGTGCACTGTCAATTAGTGTGATATGGGAGGGTGTTAGGTTAGAGGAATGCTCAGAATCCAGCAAGAATGAATAAATGGAGAAGTATCTGTATTGTAGAAGCATGGAAGTAAACGTCAAGATTATGAGTGGACAAGAAATACATGATGTTAGTTCGCATCTCGCGAATCGCTTTTCTCGGCGGGCCGACGTTGAGACTATTTAAAAAACATGAGATGTTTTTGAAGTCGCGAGTTACCGTAATCCTTATTTCTCGCGCTTTCGCGCATCGCATGTTGCGAAATTTAGGACTGTTTGGGATGTATGGCTGTCTACAGCCGATAAGCCGTGAAAATTCATAATTCTGTCCCAAGGGACCTAGAAAGTTCAAACTCGGTAGGAGTACAGACACCATGTTGGGGAAACTTATGGCGGGTGGTAGAACCAGACTCCGCCCACAGAGGGCGGGGTTTGTGCGAAAATTCATAACTCCTGTCCCCACGGAACTAGAAAGTTCAAACTTGGTAGGAGTACAGGCGACAGGATGGGAACACTCATGGTGGGTGGCAGGACCAGACTCCGCCACAGGAGGCGATGTTTGAGCGGAAACTCATAAATCCGATAAAGGTCTATAATGAAAATCAGCTCGTGCGGCTCCGTCTCTCATGGTTAGAGCCCCTAGCGCGCGCGAGAGCGTGCGTAGCCGCCTGGTTTTCGTATACTGTAATTGTAGAGGTTGGGAAAGTTCTTGATCCCAAGAATAACCTTGCTGCCAGAGGTGTTGTTGGAACCACTTGAGTGGAATGAGAAGTGGTACGAGCCAGCCTAGTGGGTCGTAGATAGAAGCAATGTGTTGAGCCACCTTCCTTTTAGTGATATTTGATGCGTTAGGGAGTGTGCAATTGATCGAAACGATGTCGTTGCTCGAATCCCACGCTATGCCTAGAACTTTTTGTTCTTTCTTGGCGGAGTAAGCTTCTGGTGGTAAATGTATTTGCACTGTTGTGTCGTTCGCAAGAAATTCGCGTATGTTCATGTTCATTTGTTGAAATATTTCGCGAACTTTTAACGACTTCTTTGCTATTTCATCAGCGCTATCGCCTGATAAAATGAGGTTGTCCACGTACAGGTTTTCGCTGATTTCGTTCGCTAAGGTTGTATCCTTCACCTCGTTGTTTATGTGATGCCGGATTGTGGCTGCTAGAAGGAAGGGTGAAGCATTCAATCCGAATGTGACCCTTGTGAAATGGTATGTTGCTATATTGTTACCCACGGGGGGCCTGTTTGTGTCTCTGATCCACAGGCATCGTGTAACATCTCTATCGCATTCGTTTAGTCGCACTTGTAGAAACGCTTTTTCTACGTCTGCCGTGACAACAAAGTTTTTCATGCGGAATCTTAACAGTATTCCATAGAGCTCCGGCAGAATGAGTGGGCCTTGGTGAAGAATATCGTTAAGTGATGGTTGTCCTTTGCAGTGAGAGGAAGCGTCGAAGACGATGCGTAATTTTGTTGTCTCTTTCAGTGGAGTTATCACTGGTTGATGTGGTAGGTAATGTATCAGCGTCGAAGTTTCTTTGTCGTTTTCTACAACTTCTTCAATGATTCCCTTTTCGAGTTGTTCTTGAAATACTCCGTGGTATTGCTCAAGAAGTTTAGGGTCCTTTTGTAAGGTATTCACGACACTGATAAGACGACTGTAGGCTAGTGATTTATTTGTCGGTAGTGTTTCGCCGCTGTCTTTGAATGGTAGCCGAACATAATATCCGTCGCTTCTCTTCTCTATTGTTTCTTTGAAAAATTTCTCAACTTTCTCGTTGATATGAGATTTCACGGCGTTTTTTGTGCCAGTAAATTCCTCAATGCCGCATGTGTCTAAAGACTAGTAGCGATCCCATCGCTCGAGTTCTGCTGCCTCTTGTGCGTTTAGCTGTGCTATCGTTGTTTTTTCGCCAGAATCGTTGACTTTGGTGTCAGTAATCCTTTTCCTTCGGCATAATTCTTGCTTGCCGCTTAGAAGGTATCCTAATTTGGATGGTATTGCGAACAGTCCTGATGGCAGAACATGCAATGTGCCTGCGCAGTTCAGAAGGGGCCACAATGTGTCGCAGCCCAGTAGCACCTGTGGATTGGTGAGTGTTTTTTTGCTCTTCGTTAAGGTGATTCCTTGTTGCTGCAAGTATTTTCGGTCTTCTGATGTGAGCCGGGCTTGTTTCCCTTTTTCTGTAATGACATCAGTTATGCATAGTGAAAGATTGTGGATATTTCCTTGGGTGTCCCAGAGTTGTAATTCGCAGACCTCGCACTTTTGATGACGGGGGGCTTTGTTGCCGAACGTATAAACAGACAAGTCCACACTGTCGATGTTTGGTAAGTTGAGTTTGTTCGCTAGTTTCCCCGTTATGAAGGATCGGTCAGCACCTGTATCGAGAAGTATTTCTACTTCTTTCATTTCTCCACTTTTTGTATCGCAAACTTTCGCCATTCCAGTGAGGAGTAGAACTTTACTCGTGGTTCTCCTTGGCTCAGTATTAGAGATGTAGAATGTCGAAGTTGATCCTTCTTCCTTATTCTGATCTGTCTTTCCTATTTGTGGATCTGATGATTCCGATGATGCTGTGTAGTTTTGCCTTTGGGTAGATCTTCCTGTATCTTGCTTTGTCCGTTTTGTTGTGTGCGCTGGTCCGGTAATGTTGTTTCTTTGTTGCGTAGGGCTTTCTTTATTTTGCCTTTTTGGACATATAGAAGAGTGATGCTTTTTGCCTTCGCACATGTTGCATCCTTTACTTATGCATTCTTTCAAAAGATGATTAGATCTCGTGCAGTTAAGACATCTTTTATACTTGAGTAAGAGCTGTGTTCTCTCTTTGATTGAGGCAACTTTGGTACATGCTTGAGAGCTATGTTCAGGTGAGTTGCAGTAAATGCACGACTGTAATCGACCTGGTGGTCTGTCGTTTCTTCTTTGGCCTGTACTAGGCTTACTTCTGTTTTGTAGCGCTTCGTTGTTTGCTAACATTTCTTCGACCTTTTCTTCGGCTGTGATAAGCCTGTCGAGGTCGGCCAGTAGTTTACTCATAGACCAGTCGTCTTCGCGATGATCTGTTTCGAAGCGTTGTTGTAGGATTTTCCTTTGAAGACTTTGTTTGAACTTCGCCAGAATCTTCTGTACAGTGAAGGAGCCGTTTAAGGATACCCCTTTTTTCTCCAACTGTGTTGTTAAAGCAAGAAGATATTCCAGTAGTCTTCGCTGCTCGCTGATGTGGGTGCTGGTTGCTGAAGCTCGCTCAAGTCGCACTTGAAGGTCGTAGATCAGTTTGGATTTGTCGCCGAATTTCGTTCGCAGTACCTCGACTGCTGCAGTGTAGTTTTCTTCCGTTACGGCGTATCGCCGTATCGCTTCTTTTGCTTCGCCCCTTAGGCTCTGCAATAGGTAATTGAACTTTTGCAAGTTCGTCAATCTCTGGCTATGCACATTCGCGTCGAATAGTGCCCAAAAGTTTTCAAATTCGCTGATTTTCCCACTAAAACTGGGGATCGGGATGGTGGGTAACTCCACCCTTGCGCTTCTCATCTCTCCAGATGATTCGCTTCGCGCTTCTAATCCCGTCAGCCTTGCTTCCAGTCGGTTTGCCAGAGAGTATGCCTTCTCGAGAAATTCATGGGTCCTCTCCACGTACTCCTCAATTTGCTTCTGCTCTTCTTCCGATAGCATTTCGGTGGTCTGATCTGCAGTTCTTGCCATTTTTTCAAGTGTGTCGCTCACTAGCTTCAGGTTGGCGTTTATTTCCCTAGACATCTCTGAGAGGAGTCTCGGAGAGTCTTGTGTCGCAGCTTCGCTGGAATACTTCGCAATGGCCTGATTCAACAGGTTCGAGTATCTGGTTAGAAGTCCTTTCTGCGATCTCAGTTGAACGGACCCTGTCATTTCGTTTGTTCGCAACTATGAGGGGGTTCGCTCCAATCGCTAAGTCGTCAAAATAGTGAGAATGTAATGTAAACTGCTGAACAATTCCCAAGTAGGTCGTACCTGTAATCCGGATCGTTTGCTTGGATCCGATGCACCATGAAACGGTTGTCCTGTGGTCGTACGCCTTCTTTCCCTTTGTATAATTGCCACGCGGGACTTGTGCCTCTTAGGTAGTTAAACCTCAAACTTGGGTAATTAAACCTTTATCATTATAACATGAAAAAACCCAATAAGTGAGAATCGAGTATGAGGCACAAAAGAACCGGCATCATTATGAGATTATTACACCGTAACATAGGAGGCAAGATGATGTAAAGAGATCAAGATAACAACAGTAAAAACCTAGCAACACTATTAACACGGCAAAGTAACAATAATGACATTTTTTACAACAAATAAACAACAACATCGACACTACTATTAACTATCATGCAACAACAGCAACTACATCTCGCTAAGTCGCAAAGGAAAAAAAGGGAGCCTAAAGAACTATCGCCTTAATCGCACTCCGCGCGAGCACCCCTTGACAGCGCCCGATGATCAATGAGGTGTGTGGACTTGGGAAGTCCCAAAATTTCTCATTGATACGGTAATCAAGAACCTTTAATTAATTGGGTCGCGCATGACGGCGGTCTTTGATCAATAGGTCGCGGTTTTTTTCCGCGACACCACTCGTCCTTGTCGCAGGCTAGTGTAGTCTAGTTGCTTCTGACTTAAAACTAATAACTTTATACCTTATAACTTTTATAACTTACATTATCACTTGTATTAATCAAAAATTGGACGTAATCAAGAATCTTCATCATGAAAACCGTTCGCTGACTTAATACCCCAACTTCTTTCCCTCATACACATTTTTGTAGCAACAACTGGAAGTATTACGGAGGTATTGTTTGTTTTGTTCTCAGTACAGAAATAAGAGCACTTCTTACAATTTTTTTTGCAGAAAGAACTTTTTGCTCTTGAGCATAACCTTTACAAAACTGAACGACGACATTTATCTGATGTACAGGAAGATCGTGACGCTCAGGGTAAGCAGTCTCTGCAGTCGTTTTACATAACATAGGTTTTTATCATTGTACTTGTGATTTATTATCAACAAGCAGGTGTTAGTAGTTTACGTTGGGTTCTACTCAAAATTCCGAACTGAACCTCAGCCATACCGGGCTGATGAGAGCTTGTTGACAGTCCTTGTTTTTCATCCTTTTCCTCCAGTCTTCGTATGAAATACTGAGTCCTCCTCCTTCGACGTAAACACTTGATGACCTGAATTGTTACAGACGCAATATTTAGCTTTAAGATGCACTTCAGGGAATCGTACTCCCGAGCAGAACAGCTGCTGTCGCACTCCATTGCATGTCGACTATACGTTCTCGCATTCATCCGTTACCATGAAAACCGCTTTGGACCTGCGCTTGAGAAAGTTTACAGTAAGAATGCGACGGGAAGAACGAGAGAGCAGGCTGCAAGCTGATGCTTCACCTGCTGATGGGGATGACTCGGACTGTAGCGACACTGATCCGGAGATGGAAGGACTTGCTGCCTTCGAGGCTGCTGCAGTAAGTTCGCAAAGTCGTTAGAAATCCATTTAACTTCTAATTCAGTGTGTTCCTTTCTACAAATGCTGTTGTTATTGAAAAAGAGGCTCCTGCTGGGACTTTTAGGTTAATTATTTTCCTAATTTTAAGTGATTTACTTGGCTAGGGAAACTTTCCAAAAGGTTACGGTAGGCCACGGAAATGAAGAAATTTTATTTTGATTCACCATCCGTTACCCTACACATCACTCAACAGTTTTTTGCAGAAGCGTGATGCTGAACTCAGAGAACGCTTCAAGAAGGAACACGAAAGTCACAGTTCCAAAAACTCAGGCGAGAACCACTAGTGAGAAGTTATTTCTCTAAAACCTTTGCCGTTATCTAGCTAGCTGTTGTGTATTTGTTATGTCTCTCATAAGTCTTATATAGTCTGCTACTTCGAAAAAAGGGTGGACTCCGGCTATTTAGCCTTCCCTGATACCCCATAAATCCGGATATTGAGAGAATCTAGGAGATGGGTCAGATTTGCATCGAACTGTTTTGCTCCATCGCTATTGACATTTCATGTAGCTGATCGTCCTCCTGATCCTAAACCTGATCCTTTTTGCTGGTTCTCTGTTTATTTTATGCTTTGCCTGCGTTGTTATTCTTTCTTCAAATGTCTGAACCGATATGCCTTCACAACTTTTGAGCGGATTTTCGTGAGAAGAAGAATTTTACCTGTCCCGTGGCTATGCTGCCTGCTCTCAAATAACGAGATTGTTTATATGAATCTAACCGAATTTCAGTTTTTTTTTTCGTTTGTAAATACTGTAAGGCGTATGCTGTTGTTTAAACAATCAATTCCTGTTACCGCTCCGTTTTACTGTTAATCACTTTGCTTTTACTGTTGATGAGGAATCTGTATATTCATCTAATGATCAGAAGTCTGTCTATTTAATAAATCTGTTTTAATCGATCATCATCATATTCGTACCGAAGGTAAATCCTATCTTAACTCTATCTTTTAAGGCTGTCTTTTTACAGGTACCTATTTCAACGAGCTTCGAAGATCAAGCGAGGCGTCCGCGAAAGCAATTGCTACCTAGCCCTCAAAATGATCCACTGGGTAAGTACTTCTTCTGCTGGAATTCTGGGAGACATGATCCTCAACTTTGTGGTTGTCCTTTCTTCAATTGGTGGAATTTCGTGACACTTCTATATTTATTTGATTATTTTAGTTCATGAACTTCCTCAATAGTGCAGTAGTGGAAGACTGCCGGGCCACTAACGTAAAGTGCAAGACTTTTATTGCTGGACAAGATGTTCATGGTACTCCATCTACTACGACTACAATAGGCGGCGTCCATGAGAAGAAGCCGGAACAGGAGAAAGTAAGCTTTTTTCATAGCGAATTTCTCAGTTTAGCTATTTTCGGAACTTCTCTTGACGCACTGCCATTGTAGACCTGCATGTAGCAGTGATGAATGGTTTTGCTATGTAGTGGATGGCTGCCTAACTGGGAACAGTGTCTGATGTGTATCTTTTGATGTAGAATTCTACGAAAATTGAAAAATTGCGTTTTGTTGAGAAACACAAAGTGCACTAGCCGATTCTAATTGCTGCTGCGTGCGAATGTTTGATGCTGACGGCGTTTTTATCGAGTGACCTTCCTACATGGTCTTGTTTCTGCTGCAGCAGCAGTTTTACCAAACAACAAGCGAGCCAGCGACAAACGGCTTTGCGCAATCCACCCTGTCTCTGCGTTTATGTGGAATTCAAAAAGAAAACAACCAATTTCGAAGAAGCCGTTTCAAACCTCTTGAAGCTTGAGTATTTATGTACTACTGCTTCCTGGTTTTTTAAGTCTGACATTCTCACAGCAATTCAAAGAACCTAGCGAGAGCGCCTATGAATTTGCTCAATATGAATGTTCCTGAGTTTATTTGTTACCACATTTTTCTCTCAGAAATGAACATTCCGTTTCTATTCAATCCTCCGGAGCATTGTTTTGCTTTTGAAGAGTGCGTCTTTATCGTTACAGCATTGGTTTTCAGTCATTCATTTATTTAGTTGAGGATGTTGATATTTTGTATTCTTCTTCCCGAAATTCAAGTAACTAATACGCACTTTTGGTCTAGGAGGTACTCTTATTTGAAACCAGTTTGGCTATGCACGCTAATGCGCGCAGTATATGTCGACGGCCACTTATCCACGATGGAGTCATTCAGCGGAATGTTGGATAATCAGAATAAGATAGTTCTCTCTTGATTCGAACGCTGAACTGCTGAGAGCATCACGCTCGATATATTTGAGCAAAGTTATTAGTGGTTGATCATAGCTCCGTCCACCCGAGTGCAAACCCTTCCCACGGTAAACTTGACCACCCTTCTTTTGACTGCTCCAAACCATTTTTTCCGCATTCCAGAAAGTTTTTGAAGAGATGAATTTTTAGTCCTAGCCTCGCTTCCATGTGCCAGCTCCGCCCCCTTCGAGGACTTAACTACATTTGTTCCAGTTCCTCTTACCACTTTTTTTCCGCATCCCAGAACGTTTCTGAATAGAGTTATAAATCTTTGATCTAAGCCCCGCCCACTCTGGTGCCAGCCCCGCCCACTTCGAAGACTCGATCATACTTGTTCCATTACCTTTAACCACTTTTTTTTCCGCATTCTATAACTTTTCCGAACGAAGTTACACTAATTTTTGAAAAGTGGCTTTCACCTCAACGCGCGCCCCGCCCCTCGTGGGCGGGGCTTCGCTATACTTATGCATGCTCAGCACGCATAAGGCCTTGCCCAATCTTTTTGTTTTTTTCGTGGCCTCGACGCCTTCGTTAAATCGAGTTATGAATCTCTGTGGAAAGCACCGCCCACTGCGAGAACGCTCCGCCCACCGCCGGTAAGTTTCCTTTATTTTGATTGTTGACCCATCCCTCACCTTTGCTCATTTTTTCCCGGTGTCTGGAATGTTAAGAGACGGAATTAGAAGAATTCGCCCATGACCCCGCCCAATTCCGGCGCATGCCCCGCCCCTTGGGGGCGGAGCTCCGCTGGGCTCACATGTGCTCTGTTGCACTTACCCTATGCTCAACCCATTCCAAACTTGACCCGACTTCTCCAGGTGTTTCTTCAGGTTATATCGAATTTCCGTACAAACAAACAAACAAACAAACAAACAAACAGACAGAGCGCTTTATATATAGTAAGGATCGTAAATACGCTTAATCTATAAATTAGGCCAGTACTGCTTGAAGACTTTTATTAACCCATCTGCAGATGCTTAATTCCAAAATTGACTCTCAGTTACTTTTGGCTGGCAATTATTATACTTATTCTACTGTACGACCGATATCATTATAAGGAATTGGGAATCTCGATCGTACAGCATAATTAAGAGGTAGAATTCATAGCGCTCACAGCTTTTCGCTAACCATGCATCGTTAAGGTGTTCATTCGTTCTGTCGATGTTAGCTGCATAGTGTTGTTTTATCGAGGGCAGTTTTCTCTTAAAATCAAGCAGTAGTGTTTCTTTTACAGCTAAAGCTTGAAATGATTTACCACTTTTTATTATTACCAGTGGGACCTAACGCCGGGCTTTTCCCTTTCTTGTGTGAAAGTCGGAATGCCCGATTGGAGTTTTGCGCCCACCATTTCGTACAATTACTTAAACGTGAATCATCATCAACATTTGCCGACACCGGGCGATGGTGCCCACCGTGGACGACACCGGGGTGGTGTTGCCAGCCGTGGACGACACCGGGCCGGTGTTGCCCGCCGTGGTCGATACCGGGGCGGTGGTTGCCGTGAACATCACGGAGCGGTGATGCCCGCGGTGAACAGCACCGCAGAGGTGGTGCCCGCCGTGAACATCACCGGAGAGGTACCGTGGCGGTGGTGCAACCGTGAACGGCACCGGAGCGGTGTTGCCCGCCGTGAGCGGCACCAGGGAGGTGGTGCTCGCCCTGGACGACACCGGGGCGGTGTTGCCCGCCGTGAATATCACCGGAGAGGTGATGCCCGCAGTGGACGACACCGGGGCGGTGGTGTCCGCCGTGGACGACACCGGAGAGGTGGCGCAAACCGTGAACGACACCGGGGCGGTGATGCCAGCCGTGGACGACACCGGAGCGGTGATGCCCGCCGTGAACGATACCGGGACGCTGGTCGCCGTGAACGGCACCGGGGCGGTGGTCGCCGTGAACGGTCCCGAGGAGGTGGTGCCCGTAGTGGACGACACCGGGGCGGTGTTGCCAGCCGTGGACGACACCGGAGAGGTGGCGCAAGCCGTGAACTGTACCGGAGAGGTGATGCCCGCAGTGGACGACACCGTGGCGGTGGTGCAAGCCGTAAACGGCACCGGGGCGGTGTTGCCAGCCGTGGACGACACCGGGGCGGTGGTGCAAGCCGTGGACGACACCGGGGCGGTGATGCCAGCCGTGGACGACACCGGAGCGGTGATGCCCGCCGTGAACGATACCGGGACGCTGGTCGCCGTGAACGGCACCGGGGCGGTGGTCGCCGTGAACGGTCCCGAAGAGGTGGTGCCCGTAGTGGACGACACCGGGGCGGTGGCGCCCGCCGATGGTATGTGGTTTTGGTTCTTTAGTATGTTTCATTTGATAAGACGGATGGTAGAGTAGGGTGACAAAAAATTTAGTGGTATGTGCAGTGATAGGGACCGATTAAAGCTTCTTTGATGTTAAGCTATGAAAGTTCAGTTCATTTGCCGCTGTTAGATTGTGAGTGCTACCCAGCAAGACTTGTGGTTCAATGAGGGATCACGGTTACTCTTTGCTTTTATATTACCAGTCGGATCGCCCAGCTAACGCCAGGCTCTCCTCCTTCTTACGCGTTCGCCCGGCTACGCCGGGCGCTCCTCCTTCCTGTGACAAATTTGCTATGCGTAAATAATAATTCGGATTCTCCTTCTCTTAGAAAGCTCTACACCCTAAGTATTAGCTCCGAAATGGGAGCGATTTTTCCTGTAACCCATCTTCGCTGTGTCCGAATAGAACATCGTATAATATCACAAAGGTGATTACTCAGAGAAAAACAATATCCAGGGACTCCACCGCGGCTGAGGCCACTATGTTAGTTACCATCAATGTTCCTCAATGCCATCATCAAGGGCTCTCTTCCTTCTTGGAACAAAGGGACATCGCCCGAAAAACATCAATCTAGTGAAATTCTTCCCCCTTTTTTCTGGGTTATCTCGCTGTTTCGCTGAGCGAGAGTATAGACTATCAACTGCCTTCAAAGATGTACCTCCTTTTCTCTACGGATACATCATTAACTGTGAATAAAACATTATTAGCGGTCGGATAATTTTTGCTAAGAATGATATCAAAGCAGTGAGAAACCGTGATCTTTCATTTAATCGCAAACTCTGTTGGGTAGCGGTCATAATCTGATAGCAAGAAGTGAACCAAATTCATCTCCTTATAATCACGCAAATTACCCTTCTTGTCGAATGAAACATATCAAAAAGTCAAAGCTAGATCGTAAATAACAAAGGCGCTAGGAGGTGATTGGTGTGTGGATCTTCTTCTCTAAGGCCTCTTCTATTGTCAGTGTTTCCATCCTGCCTCCTCCTACTGATTTTGCTCTCCAAGTCCACGGGATCAGGAGTCATGGATTTCAACTCACTTATTTCGCGGAAACCCGTCTCTAGGGGGCGGAGTCCGGCCCTACTACTCATCATAAGTGTTCCCATACTGCCGCCAGCCTCCAGTCAAGTTTGAACGCCCTAGAGCCAAACTGAAAATTTAGGCGTAACCTCGCCTTCTATGAGCGTTGTCCGGTCCTCTCACTTACGATAAATGTTCCTATCCTGCCGCCTGTGCTCCTACCAAGTTTGAACGCTCCAGGTCCATGGGGACAGGAGTTATGAATTTCCGGTCAGACTCACGCACCGACACACACACAAACAAACACACACGCACACAAACACACCGACACACCAACAGACGCACTTAGCGAATTATATAAAGTAGGATAAGTTTTACATATCACTACGTTTATCATAATCTCAAAGCAACCCGGACGGACAGACCGACATACCGACATACCGACAAACCGACAAACCAAGTCACTGCTTTGATATAAGAAGGATTCACAAGAAAACTTATCCGACCGCCAATAATCTAACAGCCTCTACCAATGAAATATCCTCAGAGAAAAACTTCCATCGATAATATCCACCTATTCTGCAGTCTTCTTTTCCTTGACATAAAAAGAGTCACTGGACCTTTCTTAGAACACTTTGCTCATAAAGATGCGCGATCTCCCCGAATTCTCACGGCGAGTGGCAAAGGTCACGGGCGGCGACCCTATCCCTCCACTGGAGATTCAAACCTTTTCCTTCAAGGTGCGCAATTGCGCGCGTTTGGGTGCGGCGATCGCGACGCCGTATTTGGGGAAGAGATACCGGGCCCCAGAAATGGAGAGCACATGCAATTGTTAATAGTAATAGAATGAGCTCTTTTTACTCTCTCACGGAGTAGAGTTCTTTGAGTCAATTACTATTGTAGTAACTTCTATGTCGAATATTGCTTTTGACTTCATAACCGCAGCATTGTGCATCCAGATGAATTAATTGATTAATTATAATCAGTCGGACCGCCCGGCTAACGCCGGGCTTTCCTCCTTCTTGCGTGAAAGTCGGAATGTCCGATTAGAGTTTTGCGCCTACCAATTCCGTACAATTACTTCAACGTGAATGATCACAACTTTACTTTTGAAATGGCACTACTTCTCGAACTCCTTCAGAGTGGATGTAAAGCACATCTGGGAAGCACTGTCTCATCGTTAGCCATTCGGTTCGCCCGGCTAACGCCAGGCTCTCCTCCTTAGACAAAGTTGGTGCGATCGGATAACTCTCTACTCTTTCTTTGGAACAAATAGTAATCTCCTGTTCACGAAACTTGAGACAGGATTAACAGGGCATTGCAACTGGTATTCAGCGTAGGTCGGTGCTATGCCTTGAATGAGAACTCTCGATCTTTTGCTCTCGTTCTTAAAAGTAAATATCCATTAAAGACTCGACTGTTAGGCAATCATAGCGATGGAGGTACTCACAAATGTTTCGAGTTATGATAATACCACTATCAGACGTCATTATCATACACCGCTTTTTTTAGGGAGATGTCATTTATTGGGAATTCCAGATTATTGGTGGTCGGTTAGGTTTTGTCGCGAATGTTATCGACCAAAGAGGATCTTTCATTGTGTTACAAACCTTGCTGGATAGCGGTCGTAATCTTATAGCAAAAAATGAGCAAAATCTTCATCTGCTTATCGTAGTACCGGTAATGAGTCCCTATCACTGCACTTACCACTCACTTTTGCCACCATACTCTGCCATCCATCTTATCGAATGAAATATACTGAACGGTCAAAGCAGCATCGTAAATACTGAATGCGTTACGATTTTGTTCGGTAGGTGACCTCTCTTAGGTCCCTTATCTTCTATTATCAGTTATCATCGGTTACTGTCACCGAGTACCTACGTTCCCGTCATATCTTACATCACCTGTTAAAACCTACGAAATTCGAACTCTTTAGGTTCATAGAAGCAGAAGTTACGAATTTTCGCTTAAACATTTACTCTGCGCAAAACCTGCCCCTGTAGGCAGAGTTCCTATCCTGCCTCCTGTACTCCAACCAGTTTTCAACCCTCTGGGTCCACTAGAGCAGGAGTTATGAATATGCGGCCTAAAATTTCTATCGCGCACGCCCCGCCCTTTGTAGGCGGAGTCTTAACCTGCTACCTGCCATAAGAGTTCCTATCCTGCCTCCTGTACTCTTATCAATTTTCAACGATCTGGGTCCACTGGAACAGGAGTTATGAATTTCGGTCAAACACACACACACCGTCACACACATACACACCGACACACCAACAGACACACTTAGCGAATAATATAAAGTAGGATAGCTAGTTGAACATCAAGTTACGGTCATTCGAGCCAATTAACTCATTTATGCAACAATTAATTCCTGCTCATCTGTCATATTTCTGGTGTGACTTTTTCTCTGCCATCTTTGTAGGAATCTTACATGTATAAGGTGCCTATATTGGCGCCGTACAACATCTGCAACGTAAAGTCAGCTTGGCTATGAAAGGAACGTACGTCGTAGGGATGTACGTCCTCTGCAAGGACGTACATTCGATTCATGCCCGAGATTCTTTATATCAAACGATTGGCTACCGGCTCTTGACCATAGGCGGGAAATAGAGAGCGTTCAGGACGAATAGCGGGTGTCACTACTGCTTTTTCAAATACCTTTCGACCGTCGGGGTAACGGTTAACTGGAGGTAGTTTTTCGGAGGTAGGTATCATTCAACATCAACTGTAAGGAGGAATTAGAATGTATGAGAAGTCAAGGTGAGAAGTAAGTTAAGTGTGTATGCAGCTGTCTTCAGATATTAGAATGTTTTCCGCGTGGGAGTTCCTGAGTAGGGAAATAAGTAAGGGGTAAGTGCTGAAGATTTCTCTATGGAGCACCTCAATCGGTTCATTTTCGTTCCCACGACTAGAACCCATAGAAAGTTGATGTTATTTGGTTTCGGTCTATCGTCGTGTCTCAGCGTTCATACTTGAACTCGTTCTGTTGGTTGATATGGACAAAATAGGTGGTTTATGAGAATGTTCGAACCGGCAGCAATCCCTTCCCTACCCTCTCTTTGAAATTGTTCAGGATTTGTTATTGGCACCCGTTTTGGCTTGAAAACTTATGAGATTTCTTGGTTTTCCTCGATGTTAACTTTGTACTTCTGACGTTATTCTGACGTCATTTAACGTTTCACCACCGTTTGTCATGCACACCACATGGCATTCCGACGCGTGTTTTTGTTGTTCAAACTAAACAGTCGCATTGTGCACTGTGATTTATGCTTCCAGCTAAAGACGTATTCAAAATGAATGCAAGAAAAAAAAAGGAATGAAAATTTGAACCCATGAAAAGCCCACCAACGCTTCATGACAACTCACCAGAACGCGAATTCTCGCAATTTTCTTGCTATAAATAAACGTCGAAAAATGGGATGGAGTCGTCGGTCTCCAAGGACTTCGACTACTTTACATTGTTTCTCAAAAGGACAAACATTTCACGCGGTTTTGTGGCTAAATAGTAAAAAGATAGGCCGCTCTCAATCCGGGAATAGTCATATTTGTTGAAATAGGGCTCTTCAGGGTTAATAATCTGATTAAGTGCTGTGATACTTTCCCACAGGGGCGGTCATGTATAAACCCTCGCTGATACAACCTTCCTGGTCAAGTCAGAAAAGCCGCTGCTTTCTATTCTTCATAAGCTTTTAAATTCAAAGGATAAATTCGTTTTACGGTGATCGGTTCAATTTCGGGAGGCTCCCACGCGTTGTGTTTCCATTTAGAGTCGTAAAGGCGTCTGGATGGCAAATGACTTGCGTGAACCAGCCGATGGTCACACAGAATTTTCATTTTCTCGAATATTCTACACCCTACCAACTACCTGGCCCTCCGCCCCCAGGAGTGTGGAAGTCTTGCTGGACTAAATCGGACCGTTATTTGGTCTGTGAACCGTACGGGTGGCTCCGTATCACTTGTTGCTACCTTACTTCCGTCCTTACAAATTCCTTCGGATGTACTTTTATAGGCGAGGGTGGCTGAGTGGTTAACGGTGCACTACCAGCGCTGATCTCTGGGCGCAGATCGAATTCGCATCGATACCCCGTCGAGATCCACCAGGCCTCTGATTTCTCCGAGGTTGCGCAATGAGTACCAAACTCGTTTGACCAAGAGAATAAAAGCATTAAATACTTTTAAACACCATTGCGATTCTGAATGAAAGCCGAACTCACCGGCGCGCCCCATAGAATCAATATTGGAAGACGATCTTTTTCCTACATTTTATCTTGTTGTTTTTTAGAACACTTTTTTTTGTCGTGTGCCCTAATCGTATTCCTCTAGCATCGGAATTGGTAGTGTTGTCTGGGAGGGACAGGGGGGAAGGGGTTGATGTTTCAGAACCTGTCTAAGGGAGGACAGCCAGCTGATA